TCCCTACTCTTGTACTCTAAACCTTTTGCAATGAACGCTAACATGCCGTTCGCCTTCTTAGTTGCTTGCTGCACCTGCAAACTAACTTTTTGAGACTGGTGTACAAGAACACCCAAATCCCTCTGCACACTAACACTATCTAATCTCTCCCCCTCTAGAAAATAATCTGTTTTTCTATTTTTTCTACCTATAACTTCACACTTCCCCACATTAAATTCCATCTGCCACTTACTCACCGACTCCCCTAACCTATCTATATCCCGTTGCAATCTTTTTACATCATCCTCAGAGCTTACTCTCCCACCTAGTTTAGTGTCATCCGCGAATTTAAGTACGTTACATTCAATGTCCTCGTCTAGATCATTGATGTAAATTGTAAGTAGCTGAGGCCCAAGCACTGATCCTTGTGGCACTCCACTAGTCACATCCTGCCAATTCGAGAATGACCCGTTTATCCCTACTCTCTGTTTTTTACCCGTTAGCCACTCTTCAATCCATGCTAATATGTTCCCATTAATCCCATGGGCCTTAACCTTGTGCAATAGCCTTTTGTGTAGCACTTTGTCAAATGCCTTTATAAAATCTAAATATACTACATCTACTGGTTCCCCCCTATCTAACCTGCTAGATACATCTTCAAAAACTCTAAAAGATTAGTTAAGCATGACATGAAAGGCGCTCTGTAAATGTAACTTTGTTGTTGTTTTCGTTGTTGGACTTACTGCTCGGTAAACAGAGGAGGGTGGAGTAGGGAAACTTACCCAACATTTCACCCTGCCCGGGAATCAAACCCGAGTCTCTCGCTTGGGAGACAAGCGCTCTAACCACTGAGCTACAAGAGATGGTTCAAAGCACTTCACAGGATATACTGTAAAATGGATTGACCGGACAAAAGCAAGGACACCGGGAAAAACTCCCTTCTCTTTTCGAGTGCCTTAACATCCACCTGCAAGGGCAGATAAGACCTTGGTTTAATGTCTGATCCGAAGGATGCATTTTTGTTGGGTGACCAAATTATTATTATTTTTTATTTTAGTTTGAAGAAATTATTACCCCGGAAAAGCAATCCACCAATCAACTAGCAACCATGTCCCTACTTACTGCTCCATAATGCATTAAACAACAAAATTACATTTGTATAGCGCCTTCCACATCGGAAGGATGTCCCAAGGCACTGCATAATAAGTGTTTCTTTAATCCTTTTAAATTAAAGATTTATAATTATATTGGAGTATTCAGGTTGGTAATAAAATGATCATCAGAGGCTTCAAAAATATACTCTTTACCTAAATAAAAATGAAACAGCCGTAATCAGAAATGGGCAGTGTTGAAGGACAAGATTAGCTTATCTCTGCTGTTCAAACCTCTATGGTTTTCAACCTACAGATATGCTTCAGCCAGCATCATAAATACTTCAACTGTATATACGGTATTAAACCAATGGTCTGTCATTTATACATAGTCTAGGGTCAACTAATTTGTCAAGGTACTTCTGACATGTAATAGAGTTGGATCACACTGTATCAGCATTCAGAGTAAAGTTTGTGGTGTATTAAAATATTACTTGTGAAAAATTACACCAATAAAGACCACGAGGTGGCACTGCACCTCTCTTGGGAACTGGTCTCTTCCTTTCAAACCTCATCAATGACACTTGTGGGAATCGTGCTTTGGGTATTCCAGAGTTTCTTCTGGTGTCCTAGCCAGTCGTTTCCCGGATAAAATTGTTCATTCACCTCATAGCAGTTTGTGGGACAATGCTGTGCACAAATTGGCTGTTCACTTGCCTACAAAGTACATAGATAATCCTGCGAAGCGGGTTGAGACGATCTCCTGATGTGGAGAGTGCTTCGTCAAATGTCTATCAAATTATTATTTTTAGTATTATACACCTGGATTGACAGCATTCAACTTTCCCTTGAGGCAAGTTGATTATTGTAATAAATGATAATGATGATAATTATTATATTATTTTAATAATATCGATATCATTAATATAATTCTAATAAATATATTACTAATCATATCAATATTATTCTAAAACTAATCCTATTAATTATATTATTATTAATAATATTATTGTAAGGTGTTACAAGAAGTCTCCAAACAGACTTGTAACCTATTTTGCTTGTTGAATATTTGGTTTCCAGAATCTTCTGAGGAGCAGCAAAAATCCTTGCTCACCACAACGCCTTTCGAGGTCTTTTATATTCAATATTAATTTATTGAGGCTCAAGGTGTCTCCTAACGGCCTTATATATAATTAAATTCATATTTAATGTTTCATTAATCAATTAAAATTCACTTGTACAAACTAAGCTCACCCTCTTTTGTGGTTAATTTGCCATGTTTTTCGTCCACAAAATATACAGTCAATCCACTTTATAGTATATCCTGTGAAGCCCTTTGAGTCATCCCGATAACATGATAAGATGCTATATCTAATGCAAGGATTACAATTATTATTAATTCCAGACCTTGCCCATTTAGCACGGTATGTCAGGCTGAAACTGACTTGCTTACCTGATCAAAGAGTAGAGTAGATAGTGGGAGATTGTTTCCCCTGGTTGGAGAAACTAAAACCAGGGGTCACAACCTTAAAATCAGAGGCCAACCCTTTCGCACTGAGTTGAGGAAGAACTTCTTCACTCAAAGGGTGGTGAGTGTATGGAACTCGCTACCCCAAAGGGATATTGACGCTCAGTCCTTGAACATATTCAAGACTGAGATAGATATATTTCTTATTGCAAAAGGGATTAAGGAATATGAGGATAAGGCAGGGTTAGGTTATTAGCTGGAGTTAGATTAGAAGATCAGCCATGATTGAATGGCGGGGCAGGCTCGAAGGGCCAAATGGCCTACTCCTGCTCCTACGTGTTATGTTATGTTAAGATCTTTCTGAGACTGCCAAGGCAGGTTTATCCCTTGTTTGACCAAGAAGAATCAATGACTTAACCAGACACAATTAATCTGCTGAACTAAGTTAATTTTATTCATTCCAGATTTAGGTAGACAGTTGCAATTGACAGATAATGACATGGTTATTCATGTGGTGTCACAGCAACTAGCTGGGCTGAGTATTGTCAGAACAGCCAAGGAATTTTAGTTGTAAAGTTCAAGTCTCCAGATAATTAAATAAAAGGCCATTCTGATGGATTTGTGCATTAACTTAAAAAGGCAAGAGTAGTGCAATACAACCTTTGTTAGAAGTCCCTCATCTTGTCTCTCACATTGACTTGTATGGTTAACAAGCTGGTATTTGTTCTCTCTCTGATTCCTTGGCATCATCTCTTTGGCCTTGATCGGTTTACAGGTATTATAGTTTAACTTTGATAATAGAGTCTGCAGGCTTTTATTTCTTTATAATGGAGCCCTTTAACAGCCTTCCTTTCATTAGTCTCTCAAACTTTCTCCTGCTCTCTGTAGCAGAACTGTAGTTTATTTTTCCTTTTGATCAAAATCCACTTAATCCAGATCTCCACTACCACATACTCACCCACACTACAACAACAACAACTTGCACTAATATAGTGCCCTCCACGCAGGGTAGCATCTCAGAGCGCTTAACAGTGGCAGAACCTGACTCCGAGCCGTGGGGAGGTGGCTGTAAACACGGTCGAAGAGGAGAGTTTTCAGGGGGGACTTGAAAAAGGGGAGAGAGGGGGCAAGGCAGAGAGATTGAAGGAGAGTTTCGGGGTGTAGTGGCTGAAAGCGTGACCTCCGATGTTGGGGTAGAGGTGCAAGGGACGAGCAGGAGGCCGGTGCCAGTCGAGTGGAGGTGCCGGGTGGTGGAGTGGGGAGTGAGGAAGTCAGAGAGGTAGGGAGGTGAGAGAAAGTGAAGGGGTTTGAACACGCGTATGAGGATCTTGAAATTGATCCATTCGGTGATGGGGAGCCAATGGAGCCCGGCCAGAGCTGGTGAGATGTGGGTACGGAGTTTGATCCGGGTCAGTATGTGGGCGGCAGAGTTCTGAATGAGCTGGATCTTTTGAATAGTGGAGCTGGGGAGACCGGCGAGGAGTGCGTTAGAGTAATCCAGGCCGGAGGTGACAAACACACGCACGAGGGTTTTGGCTGCATTTGGGGTAAGGTACAGTCGGAGGCGGGCAATGGAGGTGGAAGAAGGTGGTCCTGGTCAGGGACCGAATGTGGGGGATAAAGAACATTGAGCTGCAGGAAGTTTACATTCATCCAGGCCCTGATGTCTACCAGATAAGCTGGAGTTAGTACCGGAGGAGGCAAAATAGATTTGTGTGTCATCCGCATACAAGCTTCCTGCTTGTCCCTCGTGCCTTCCGTTCCACAATCAGCGGCTGCGCTTTCCAGTATCCTGGCCTCAATCACCTCTTCCTGGTAACCTGGTGCAGTCATCAGTTACCTAGTCAAAGTGGGTTTATCTATTTCTCTCTGTTGCTACTAACTCAGGTGTCTGAGTCCATCTTTGTTTTGTTGTTAATTATCTTCTTTTTGGTTTTGTTGAATATTCTTTTACTAGTTTCCAGCTAATAAACACTGCTATAGAAGGACTTCAAAGGTGAAGGTATCTAGCTCAGAGTAGTTAGTGAATGTGAACGGGAAGAATCACAAAACTGTACAGCACCCTCTACTTATCCAATTTCTGTTGACTGCTGTACTTTGTGTGATATTGTGGACTGTAAGTACTGTTTGTGCTGAAAAGAAAATTACTGCAGCTAGTTTCAATACAAAAGTGGGGGTGTGGCAAGTTAGTCTGCACTGAATCAGGCCCCTCTGTTACACTTGTAATATTATAGACTTGGGATCTTTCAATTCCAATTATGCAACATACAATGCAGCAAAGATCAACAATCACCAGTAATATCTAATCACCACAAAGCATCCGTGATTTCTATAGATACATTGGGTGGGTAACCAGATCCAAGACAGATCAGTGTCATACTGAATAGCATATTCACCACAATGATAAATATCATTCAAGTGAACTGCTGTACTATTATTATTAATCGAACTTATTAAGTGAATCATTGATTCACTCTAGCATAAACTATCGTTTTATGTAGCTTCAGATTTTCACTGAACTAAATTTTAGATAGATTGGATCTTGTAGTGGGTTTGGTTTTTCCTTTATTCCAAACACTGCTCACATTTGAATACTTTCCTTTCTGTACCTCTTTGTTAGACCTCATTGTATGGGAGGAATCCCTCTTACACTGACGTACTCCCTGTGCACTAGTGTTCTCACTCTCGATAGTCTCCCTTCTTTTTGCCAACTCTCTCTCCTTCTGCTCTTCCCACTCTTCATCAGTATCATCTAGCAGAATTCCATTTTGCTCGGCAACCCTCCTATATTCAGCACACTCCAGCTCTGCTCTGAAAAGAGAAACAAATGAGATTAAAAATCAGTTTTAATTCCTATATATTGGAAAACAATATGTTCCCCTTGACTCCCCCTCCACCAATCCCCCCACACCCCACCACAGTTAATGTGTTCAGAGACCAGGAGGCAGTGGAGGCTGGCGAGGATTGGGGTGATGGATGTCTGGAGTTTAGTGTGTTTAAGGATGTGGGTGGCAGAATTTTAGATGAGCTGGACCTTGTGGACGGTGGAACTGGGGAGAGCAGCAAGGAGTGCGTCTGAGAAGTAAAGACAACAGTCCAATCCTCAATAACAGTTCAGTGAACATTGGGTGAACTCAATTATTAACATGTTACTTCACTCACTTCTTTCTCCAAAAAATTAAAGCTTCACGATTATTGCCTTTTTTCACTCTTTTGAAATTGTTGGACATAGCAATGATGTTCTTGTTATCTGCTGAAAAGTAAAAAGGTAATAAAAGCTAACAACATATCGGATTGGTGAAATGTCTAATATCTTAGCACTGGAGAGAGTACAGACATCGGACAGCTAAACTGATAGTTGTAATTAGACATTTCAGACACAAGAGGCTGCAGACTGAACCTGGAAATGTTCACATGAAAAAGAAGTTTGTTTTCCACAGTGTAGCATTTATCAGGCTCAGCTCACACAAAAGGGAAGTTCAGGGAGATCTCATTGATGTATTTAAGATTCTCAGTACAGTATAGATAATATACAATATAAAATTACAATGTAAAATTTCATTTGTAAAGCACCTTTCATGTCGGGAGGACATTCCAAGGTGCTGAACACTCAGGGTCATTAGGACCAGTGTTATTACAGCAACATGAGACCTAGTCAAACATGTTTAACATGTTAAAGAAAAACTCAAGTGGGTACCGATTGCCACAGTGAATGGCAATGCTATGGAATAAATAACACAATTTATTACGTATTATTTCCATTGGGACTGGCCAGATGGACCATATTGGTCTTTTCCAGTCAATGTACACGTTCCTATTGTTACAAACATATTGACATGAACTTTGGATGTCCTCCCAATGTGAAAGGTGCAATATAAATGCAATTTACTGTTGTTGTTTGTGACACTTTGCCATTACTTACTTTTCTAGAAATGCGACACAATCTGTTTGCCCATATATTTCTGCAATTCTTTTGGGGGTGTGCCCATAAAGATCCCCTTTGTCAACAGGAGCATGGAGTAAATGCAACGCTCGAAGGACAGACAACTTTCCATACTCTGCAGCAAAATGTGCTGCAGTCCAACCCGTGTCGGTTCCTAGGCAAGGTCGAGCTCCATTCTGTACGAGGAGCCTCACCATCTCCCCCTGCCCTAGAAGAACAGAACAAAGAAACTATGACAAAGAAACAACACTAGCCAAACTTTGTACAGCAACATGAGACCTAGTCAGATGTGTAGATTTGTGAATTCTGTTCAGATATTAAAACTGAAAAACAGAATTGTGTTGAATTAAACATTTTACATTGACAGTACAATTATTTTGATAGATACTGTATTTGAAACTTTTTTTGCAAACTCTTTTGGTATTTTAATAATTAAAAGACTGATATTTATTTTTGATTTGAAAGGGGCTTGCCTTCGTGAAATTGGTTCAGCAATCCTTTACTTGTGCAGAAGTGTATGTCGTTTTAAATGACCAGACTCCTGCGTGATCCACAAGCAGCATGGCTGACAAATATTGATAAATAAGGCTGCTATGTCAGCCTGTTGGACAATCTACTGGCAAACTTAATCTGGTGAGTCAGTGAGCATGAGAGGAAAAGCTATTGTCATTGGAATGAGCTATTGTTATGGAAACTGGAATGGTTTAACAATTAAGGTATCCTGCAATCTCTAGAGAATTAAAACAAGAGCAGGGATTCCAAGCAACAACACAATACAAATTGACACTTATATAGTATAGTGTTTTTCATGTCAGGAGGAATTCCCAATGCACTTAAGCGTCTTCGCTTGTCGCCTGAGCTGGGGTGGGAGCCAAGGGAATTGGGAAAGAGAAAGATGACTGAAGGTGCAATCAAAGCGGTAGGTCTGGTTCAACTCACTAGTAATGATAGCCTTATAGTTTCTTTTAAAAAGGTAACCGAGACTGGAAGAGTGCTGGAAAAGTATAGGATGTTGTTGATCAGTATGCAGTGAGTTGCATCCAGTTTTCCCTCTGAGTTTCATTGGTAATTGAGCACCAGTAGATGGCACTCTGACAGTGTATGATGTTTCCAATTGCTTGTGTTGTGATTTATCAGTGGAGGAACAGGATTTCCTGTTAGATTGAGAGCATTCTCCTTTCCACTGGACTCTTTGTAATTCTGACTGGTCTGTTTTTACAAAATTTGTTTAAAATGTACAAGATTCTTGTTTAAAAGTGGCCAGTACAAATCATCAAAGCTGCATATTTAACCAAAACATTTGAGCATAATTCAGAGGCGCTCAAACTAAAAAAAAAATGAGACTATGGTATATTTTCAGTAAGACTGTGAACTGTCCTCACGGAAAGTCCTGCCATGGCTGTGGGTTCTCTGGATCATCAGAAGCCAGGTATTTGTCGTTATTCTCAATCTTGCAAATCCCCAGTCTCAGTTGAGTAATTTGGGACAAGGCCAAGTTTAATTTATGATTTAATATTTGTTTAAGGTTTGAAGCAACATTTGATACACATGACACACATGATGACATCTATTGGCGTAATGAAGGCTGACATCCAGTGATTTCTCAGATGTTTCTTCAGCTCTCTTCCCACTGTTGGACAGCATCAGCATCCAAGGCTGCACTCTCCACCTCTCAAAGTCAGTCAGGAACCTCGGTGTTCTGTTCGACCCTGAGCTGTCCTTTCTCCCTCATATGCGCGCCACAACTGGCACCGCCTTCCATCACCTCCGGAATATCGCCAGACTACGGCACTACCTCACCTCTCACGCTGCTGAAACCCTGGTCCACGCCTTTATCACCTCAAGGCTGGACTATGGGAACTCTCTCCTCGTCGGCCTTCCCGGCACCTCCCTCCACAAGCTGCAGATCATTCAGAACTCTGCAGCTCGTGTACTGTCCCGCACCAGGCTTCGGGACCACATCACTTCCACCCTCGCTCGCCTCCACTGGCTCCCCATCCCCCAGAGGATCGAATTCAAAATCCTCATCCTCACCTACAAGGCCATTCACGGCCTCGCTCCCTGCTACCTCTCTGACCTACTATCCCCCTACCTACCTGCCCATACCCTCCGTTCCTCTGGCTCCGGTCTGCTCCACATCCCCTGCCCTAACCACCCTACCATCGGTGGTCGGGCCTTCAGCTTCTCAGCCCCTAGGCTCTGGAACTCCATCCCCCAGTGCCTTCGCCGCCTCCTCCCTTTCCTCCTTCAAGGCCGGTCTCAAGACCTTTCTCTTTGACCGAGCCTTCAGCTCCCCTCTCGACTCTCTACCCCCTCCTCGCTCCCTCCCTTCCCTCCCCTCACCCTGACCATTTCCCCCCTGCTCGGGTCCTGACCCAACTGTCCAGCGCCTTGGGACGTCCTCCCGACGTGAAAGGCGCTCTGTAAATGAAATCTTGTTGTTGTTGCTCAACAAATAGAATGTTCAGAATACCAAACAGAAAGGCAGCACCAAAATGAATAGATCAGCTTCACTCTGCTTTTCTACTCGTTCTTCAGTATTCACAAAATCAGATGAAATCAAGCGTGAAATGGGAAAAGACCATCAAAGCACAAGCCTATTACTTCAACAGACTTATTTGCTTACTGATTTAACGAGCTAAGAGGCATTTCTGAACACCTGAATAGTCAAGCAACCACACAATATTTATCTACACTCACAATTCTCCTATTCAAACCTGACTGAGAACATTATCAGCACAGAAACTATCATGTGGTGGTTTTACTCAGATCTCCCTGTAAACTGCAGTCCCAGGTGCTTATTCTTTTCTTTTTTTTTACAGAGTTGATCAATGTTGCATTGAGTACTTTATTCAACTGCTTCTGCTGGACATATGTATCAAAGAGGCTGTCAAGGATAAATGTGGGTCCGCTACAGGCAGAGACGGGGGGAATTATGGTAGGGGACAAAGACATGGCAGAGTCATTAAACAAGTACTTTGCTACTGTCTTCACCTGAGAAGACACTGAAAACCTACCAAGAATAGAGGGGAGCCAAGAAGAAAACGTTAGCAAGTAACGGGTAAATAAATGGTTTTAGGTAAATTATCAGGTCTTAAAACTGATAATAATAATAATAATAATAATCCTTGCATTTGATATAGCGCTTTTCACGTCGGGAGGACGTCCCAAAGCGCTTCACAGAACACACTGTAAAGTGAATTTACTGTATATTTGTGGGCGAACGCAGCAGCCAATTGCGCACAGCAATGTCCCACAAACAGTCGTAGATTGAAAGTGACCAATTTATTATTGGGTTTTTTTGGTTTTGGAGGGATTATTATTAGGCGTGTGGAGTAAGGAAACTTGCCCAAGGTTTCGCCCTCCGCCTGGAATTGAACTCAGGTCTCTCACTTGCAAAGCGAGTGCTCTAACCACTGAGCTACAGGACTCCACAGTGGACCTGATGGCCTACGTCCTAGGGTTTTAAAAGTGGTGGCTACTGAGATAGTGGATGGCTTGCCTTTGATCTTCCAAAATTCTCTGGATTCCAGAACGGTTCCCATTGATTGGAAGATTGCAAACATTACACCACTATTTAACAAGGGTGGGAAAGAAAAGATGGGGGACTATAGACCAGTTAGTCTGATTTCAGTGGTAGGGAAAATTCTTGAGTCCTTAATTAGAGGTGTCGTTATGGGTTTCCTGAAAGACCATAACATGATTAGGCAGAGTCAACATGGCTTTACAAAAGGGAAGTCATGCTTAACTAATCTTTTAGAGTTTTTGAAGATGTATCTAGCAGGTTAGATAGGGGGAACCAGTAGATGTATTATATTTAGATTTTAAAAAGGCATTTGACAAAGTGCCACACAAAAGGCTATTGCACAAGGTTAAGGCCCATGGGATTAATGGGAACATATTAGCATGGATTGAAGAGTGGTTAACGGGTAGAAAACAGAGAGTAGGGATAAACGGGTCATTCTCGAATTGGCAGGATGTGACTAGTGGAGTGCCACAAGGATCAGTGCTTGGACCTCAGCTACTTACAATTTACATCAATGATCTAGACGAGGACATTGAATGTAACGTATCTAAATTCGCGGATGACACTAAACTAGGTGGGAGAGTAAGCTCTGAGGATGATGCAAAAAGATTGCAACGGGATATAGATAGGCTAGGGGAGTGGGCGAGTAGGTGGCAGATGGAATTTAATGTGGGGAAGTGTGAAGTTATTCACCTTGGTAGAAAAAATAGAAAAACAGATTATTTTCTAGAGAGGGAGAGATTAGATAGTGTTAGTGTGCAGACGGATTTGCGTGTTCTTGTACACCAGTCTCAAAACGTTAGTGTGCAGGTGCAGCAAGCAACTAGGAAGGCGAACGGCATGTTAGCGTTCATTGCAAAAGGTTTAGAGTACAAGAGTAGGGAAATCTTGCTGCAACTGTGTAGGGCCTTGGTGAGACTGCACCTGGAGTATTGTGTGCAGTTTTGGTCTCCTTATTTAAAAAAGGACATACTTGCCCTAGAGGGGGTGCAGTGTAGATTCACTCGGTTAGTTCCTGGGATGAGGGGACTGACCTATGAAGATAGGCTGAATAAACTAGGGCTATATTCTCTAGAGTACAGAAGAATTAGGGGAGATCTTATTGAAACATATAAGATTCTTAAAGGGCTGAATAAAGTAGACACTGAGGGTCTGTTTCCCCTGGTAGGAGAATCTACAACCAGGGGTCACAGTCTTAAAATTAAGGATCAGCCTTTTAGAACAGAGTTGAGGAAACATTTCTTCACTGAGGGTAGTGAATTTATGGAACTCACTACCCCAGAAGGCTGTAGATGCTCAGTCCTTGAATATCTTCAAGGCTGAGACTGATAGATTTTTAAAAAACAGAGGGATTAGGGGATATGGGGATAGGGCAGATAATTAGAGTTAGGTCTGAAGATCAGCCATGACCTTATCCAATGGCGGGGCAGGCTCGAGGGGCCGAATGGCCTACTCCTGCTCCTAATTCTTATGACGCTGCTGTGCGCAATTCGCTGCCGCATTCGCCCACAAATATACAGTCAATTCACTCTACAGTCTATTCTGTGAAGTGCTTTGGGACATCTAGAAGACGTGAAAAGCGCTATATCAGATGCAAGGATTATTATTATTACTATGTTCTTATGTTCTTATACAGTATCTGCTCCCCTTTGGGGAAAAAATAACTTTTTTTTTTTGACACAATCCATCATCATGCTTATCCAAACTGAGAGTTTCATACACGTATGTCACCTACACTTGCAAATTTCTCTATGTCTGGGATGTAATGTGTGTTCTTATCAAAGGGACACACCTTGCTTACCTAATATCAGAGAGTATTAGTCACAGGTTGGCAAGAAACAAGGCTTGGGGCCCCAGAATGTTTTGGGATAGTGCTAAGTACAACCAGATAAAACCACATAGCTTACCAATGAGAGCATAGTTTGGTAAGCTTTCTGCTGCTTATCCAGTTAGGACCACCCTACCTGTTGAGGTTTTGGAATGAGGGTTAACAGCAGCTGAGTGGGAACAATTATTTTCGCTAGCCTGCCTCTCCAAATCCTGCTGATGAACCTGGCAGGCTGGTCTGTGATCAGCGGTGCCCTGGAGTAATGTCAGGAACTGGTTCAGAAACCGCCACAGAGGGTTGACTCGATTCCGACATTCTGTTGCTAAGCATGTCACCTTGGATCCAGTTCAGCTCCAAGGAGAGCCCACTTACCACCGCTTTCCCTTCACCCATCACAAATGATCATTTGACATCCAACAAGCAACATAGCCCTAACTCGGTGGATAGCAGGTATCAGGAATTTTCTGTGGGCTTGCTGGTGAACTGATAAACTCAGCGTAAAACTAGTGAGAGCAAGAATTTCAAGTTTTACAAATGTTTTTAATGTTAAATCTGTAGCTGCTTGTTCCGGACTCAAGAGTCAAATAATCTGCTTTCATCCACATTATTTATGCTTGTCAACATTTTTAAACATCAGTAGCGTGAACACCAAGACCACAAGAAATTAGGAAGTTTCTTGGAGAAAAACAGAACCAAAAATTACAAGCATATTTCAATAATAAAATGCTAGTTTTGTTTTACATGGAAAGAGAATGCAATTTTCTATATTATAAAACAATAAAAGTCAACAATCACTGCAATGAGATTTCCCCAAGTATCCCACCTTTGATTGCCGCCCAGTGAAGTGGAGTCCTGTCATTCCAATCAGGATCTTTAAGGTTGGGGTCGCAAGAACGCTTCTTCAAAATCTCCTCCACCTCTTCAGAGTCAGCAGAAGCTGCTGCTTCGTGCAGTTCTGTCATTTCACTGGAACAGACGGATAGACAGGTCACTTGATCTGCCCCACAAACTGAACCGCAAGTGGAAGGGCAGGGAAGGGAATTGCAGCTACAGCACAGTTTGTTTTTGGTCAGCCTGGTGTCTGACGCATTTAGAAACCCATCACCATCCAAACAAAACTGAGATTGTTGGGATGGAATGTGCACTCTCTTCCTGGAGGGACACATCCTGCTTACCTAATTCCGGAAAGTATTAAGGGTAGGTTGGCAAGAGCCAAGGCTTGGGGACCCCAGAGTGTGCGTTGGGGTACTGCTGGAGTCTAACCAGCTGAAACCGTATAGCTTATCATTGATATCGCTATCTGACAAGCTTTTCCAGCTAGGACCACCCTACCCATTAGAGCTTTGGCTTGCAAGAGTTAACAGGAGCTGAGCGAGACATCTCCCTGCCCCCAGTGACTGGTCTACCCTTCCAGGTCCTGCTGATGAGCTGGGCTGTGCTGTCATCAGCAGTGGCCTGGAATACTGCGGACCCACCTGGCTCAGAAACCGGACTGGAGACCATCACAGAGATCTGGCTCGATTCCGATTGGAGTCAGTTCAGATCCCCACTTACCTTCCCCCCCCCCTCCCCGCGCCCCCAGGAGGAGACTCACCACAAACTGTGCCAGCAGTGCGGGGGCTGGGGCTGAGGCTGGGCTGTGAGCAGTGAGAGTGTAGCTGCTCAGCTCTGTGTTTACCGGTTGCTATGGCAGGAGTGTGGGCGGGTTGGACGATTTCACGCCTGATTGGGCGGGTTTTGGTGGTTTTTCGTGTAAAAAATAGTCTTTGGGCGAGTGCCTAATTTTTTTTTAAAAAAAAGTTAAATCTGCAAAACGTTTCTCTCCACCCCAACCCCACACCCCTTTTTAAAAAGACCCTTTGTTACACAATTTCAAATGCACTAAACCTAAATCGGCCACTGGCTACACACGTTATTTTTATTTCTGGCAAAATCCTGGTCACCAGCAGCAAGTAGACCAGCACCCAGCACCTCAAATATTGGAGCAACATCCTGGCTCCCAGTTTGTGCCCTGGAGAATGAACCTGATTTGTGTGAGAGCTGATGTGGCCACTGCTCGCACTCACGCTTATAATGCAGCGAGTGGTTCTTGAAGCTACGCTGTGCTGGGAATTCAATGGACATGTCTGCCTGTCCCAGTGACCCTGTCTATTTCCACGGGGTGAGGGAGACAGCAATAACAACAATAACTTGCATTTTATTTATTATTAATAATATTATTGGATGATACAACAAAATTACAGTGGAATGGGAATAGAGTAGGATTGGGAGATCTAGCACTGGTAGAATCTACAATTGAGAGACCTGGGCTCAATTCCCGGCAGGGTGAAACCTTGAGGCAAGTTTCCTAATTCCACACGCCTGATAATAATCCCTCAAAAAAAATAATAAATTGGTCATTTCAATCCACGACTGTTTGCGAGACGCTGCTGTGCGCAATTGGCTGCCGCATTTCGCCCACAAATATACAGTCAATTCACTTTACAGTCTATTCTGTGAAGCGCTTTGAGATGTCGAGAAGGTGTTAAAAGCGCTATATCAAATGCAAGGATTACTATTATTATTATTTATTTAGAGCCCTCGGCAGAGTCTCGGTACGCTAAACAGTGGTGGAGCATGACACCCAGTTGGGGGGAGGGAGGAGGTGACCATAAGCACGGACGAAGAGGAAGATCTTCAGTCATGATCTAAAAGAGGGGAAGTAGGGGGTGAGGAGGAGGGTTTGGGGTGTAGTGGCTGAAAGCGCAGCTGCCGATGGTGGAGCGGAGGGGACAAGGGACAAACAGGAGGTCAGAGTCAGCCGAGCCGTGGTAGTGGGACAGAAAGGTAGGCAGGTGCCAAGGCATGAAAGGATTTGTAGACAAGTGAGAGGATCTTGAAATCAATCTGTTCGGTGAGAGGGAGCCAGTGAAGCCTGGCGAGGATTTGTGTGATGGGGTACAGAGTTTAGTGTGGGTGAGAGTACAGGCGGCAGAGTCAAAATTTATCTCACAAAGGAGAATTACTAACTTTAAACAACTTTTGTTGAACGCTACTGAATGGAGCTAAGTGGATGAGCTAAGGATGTGTACCGTGGCTACCAACAACAACTTGCATTTATATAGCGACCTTCATGCAGGGTAACTTTATTCGTTGTGACTGTATCTCAAGACCCCAGATTCAAGAGGCTAGGAGAAACTTTAATGCTGTATGACATAGTGTACCTCGACTTCCAAAGTCAACCAGAAGAATCGTGTCACAGGATTTTAAACATCCACTCGAACAGACAAGAACTCAGACCTTCAAAACCTTTATGTACAAGACAGCGCTCCCAGACTTAAGTGTCATGTTAGACTGAGTTCAAGTCCCAATATTGTCCTTGAATCTCCAACATTGTGATCCAGAGGTAAAAGTGTTACCAATTGAGCCAATTTGATACACCTGTTGGATTGTAAACAGGGCCTTGCAAATTGTGTCACTGATCACAAGAGAGGCTCAGTCTAGCAAAGTACTTTTTTTTTAAAAAGTCACTGCACTCATGACTAATGAGTCAAGTGTCAGCACCAACACTTGAGGGTTGCTCATTTTACAGCTAGTGTTGGTATTACGGTGAACCTCCAAAATAGAAAACTGTTGTATTAATGATCAGACTCCTCACTGGAAGCAGAAATTCTTCCCACTCAGCTCCTGTCAATGCTGCAAGCTAAAGCCCTAAGTAGCAGAAAGCTTACCAGCCAGTGCTCTCAGTGGCTTTGTGGTTTTAGCTGGTTAACGTCAGCTGTAACCCAATTTACACACCTAAGGTTCCAAGCTTTGGCTCTTGTCAGCCTGCACCTAATACAATCTGGAGGTGGCAGGACAGGTAGATAAAGCTGTTAAAAAAGCATACGGTTTTATAAGTAGGGGCATAGAATTCAAAAGTCAGGAGCTTTGTTGAATATTTATAAAATGCTGGTTAGGCCTCAGCTGGAGTACTGTGTTCACTTCTGGGCACTGTACTTTAGGAAAGATGTTAGGGCATCGGAGAGGGTGCAAAGGACATTTACCAGGATGGTACCAGGAATGAAGGACCTTAGTTATGAGGAGAGGTTAGGGAAACTCGGATTATTCTCCCTAGAGCAGAGAAGATTAAGTGGGGATTTAATAGAGGTTTTCAAGATCATGAGAGGATTTGATAGGTTGAACCGGGAAAAACTGTTCCCACTGGCATGTAGGTAGGTCAGTAACCCGAGGACACCGATTTAAGATAGTTGTTAAAAGAAAGAGGGGAGATTAGGAAAAATGTTTTCACCCGGCAAGTTGTTGAGATCTGGTATGCATTACCTGAAAGGGTAGTGGAAGCCGATTCAATAACAACTTTTAAGAGAGAAGTAGATGGGTATTTGGGGAGGACAGGATTGCAGGGCTGTGGAGAGAAAGCAGGCCAGTGGGATTGAGTTGGATTGCTCTTTTAGGAGCTGGTCCAGACGCGATGGGCCAAATGGCCTCTTTCTGTGCTGTATGATTCTATGAATTAGGTAGGCATTTGGTTCATCCTTCCAGACAGAGAGTGTGCTCCAGGTACAGGGAAAATTCCATATGTAGGTGGCATACATATAGTACAGCTCTTAGTCTGGCTTGAATACTCCTATAATAATAATCCTTCCATTTGTTAATGTCTTAATATGTCTTCGAGATGTCTCAAAGCGATTCACAGATTATACTGTTAAGTGAATTGACTGTAATATTTTGTGGGTGTAAAGCTGCAGCCAAAAGCTTACAGCAGTGTCCCACACCTGTCATGAATTGAGTGACCAAGTTATTATTTTTAAAAATTGGAAGAGATTATTTAGCCCTGGAAAACGAATCCACCAATCGACTAACAACCGGGTTCCTACTGCTCGGTAAACCGAAGCATGTGGAGTAAGGAAACTTACCTAACATTTTGCCCTGCCTGGGAATCAAACCCAGGTCTGTTTGCTTGCAAGGCGAGTGCTCTAACCCATATTCTATATGACTCCAATAGGCTACAGGACTTAAGCACGATGATGGTTTGACTGGAGTCCTGTAGCTCAGTGGTTAGAGCACTCGCTTTGCAAGTGAGAGACCTGAGTTCAATTCCAGGCAGGACGAAACCTTGGGCAAGTTTCCTTACTCCACACGCCTAATAATAATCCCTCCAAAAACCAAAACCAATAATAAATTGGTAATTTTCAATCTACGACTGTTTGTGGGACATTGCTGTGTGCAATTGGCTACCGCGTTCGCCCACAAATATACAGTCAATTCATTTTACAGTGTGTTCTGTGAAGCGCTTTGGGATGTCCTCCTGACATGAAAAGCTCTATATCAAATGCAAGGATTATTAGTATTATTATTATGGTTTTCCGAGTGTGTCAGATACCGACTGATCAAAAAAAGAAACTATACTGTTTAGATAGATTCAACTTGTTTCACAGGTTGTTGTGAAGTATACAATCAGATACGCATTGTTATCCTAATCAAGTTTGTTTGGGGGATTCATCTTTAATTCCCGGAAAGGCACCGCAACTATTCTTGTACTTTATTTGAAGTGTTTCAATGTTAAAATTGGTCCGAGCTTCGCTAGTTGATCTGAGTGCATAACTGCATCACTTGACCACTTCACTGCGTGTACCTTTGTTCTGAAATCCAAACGTGACCAAATAGCAAGTGTGGCTCTTTAACAATTACAGTGCTCATCAGCATCAATGCACAATACAATGCACAAAGCTCACCCATAGAATATATTGCTGGTGTGCACAGCTGGCTTGTACAATACCGAGTTGGTGTGTCGAATACAGGGATAACATCTACAAAACAGAACTTGCCTGTACAATAGAATCAACACACTCAAACGCATAGCCAGCCTACACTCTTTGCAGAGGTGGTCTTGCACACTTAGCCTCCACAAGTGCAGAGTTTGCCTATACATTACAGATGTAGCCTATATATTGCAGCACTGGTTCTTATAGCTCAGGTGGTGAGTAGAAATAAATGGTGGTGCGTGTGTGAAACACACAGCTCTGGCGCAACTTGCAATGGACATGTTGTGTCTGCTGGTATTTAAATGGCTTAAATGGCATTGCTGCACAGCGCCTTTAATGCTTCGGATTAATAGCGTCGGATTGAACGGGGAGGGTTTCCTGCACATACACACACACACATATGCATACATACCACACACCACCCACACACCACCAGCAGCAGCAGCAGAGTGTGCAGCAAAACATCTGATGGAAGAGAAAGCAGTGTCCTGAAGTGGGAAGAATGTGTGAGGGTGCAGCCCTCCCTCCCCCCCAGCCCGGGCCAGGACAGATCTCAACCCGGGAGTGTTGCTGACGGGGTAGATATCGAGCACAGTCAGGGCAGGTCGGGACTGGGGCTTTTCCGAGAGCTCAAGAGGATCTAAAGGAGAGAGAAAAAAAAAAGAGGGTAAGAAACTCTTCCATTTGTTTGGGATTTCGCAGCTGCTTTACCCCCCACCCACCACCCACCCACCCACCCCACCACCCACCGAGACCACCCAAGTTACCACGTTAGACCTTTCATTTGCAGCAGAAAGTGTTCAAAGCCAAGACCACCTCTGGTCTGTTTTATGCAGCAAAGGCATCGAGAGGGAGGAGGGAGGGAGGGAAGGAAGGAGGGAGGGAGGGAATGGGATGGGATGAATAAAGGGAATACAGGAATGCATCGGTCACTGGGTTTTTACCTCCTGTTCAGTTTAAAGATGTATTGCTTTTCTTTTTTAAAAAAAAACACACACACATAATGCTTATTGCTCGGGGCTACCAAATACTCTTCTGTCTGTGTTTCTTTCTTTCTTTCTTTCTTTCTTTCTCTCTCTCCACGTCCACTTTGCAAAGCTGTGTTGTGACCCTGGGTTGTGTGGGTGGTTTGTTTAAATGCAATCAATCAATCAATCAATCAATCAATCAATCAATCAATCAATCAATCAATCAATCATTTAGTAAATCAATCAATCAATCAATCAATAAAGGGCACCTTCAGGCTGTGTGTTTGTACTGGGAAATGGTAACTTCAACAACAACAACAACAACCAGCGACTGAGACAGAAAGAAAAGAGAGAGAGAGAGAGAAAGGGCTGCATTGCTATTACACAGCGAGGAACACTGCACTGACATGTACAAACCTCTGTGTCTCACTGACCAGACAGACAGACAGACAGACAGACAGACAGCAAACACCTCTGACGTGTCTGGACCTTATGTTCGGTTGGTTTAACCTGGAATCATTTTGGGTTTAAGGCAGATTAGTAAACACTGGGATCGAGAGGCTGTGGGAAATAACCTTCCCAGTCCACCCCCCCCACTGCCCACTCCCACCCCCCTGGTTTGCAGTGAGCAGCAATCTGTCTGGATGGGACTGTGCAACATTTTGAAACAATTAGTGTTGGCAGCTCAGTGCCCAGTCGGTCTCCCGTGTCTGCGCCGTTGTTCCACTTGCAAGACGTAAGGCTTTATCATTCATATATAATAATAATCTTTGCGTTTGATACAGCGCCTTATCACGTCTTTGACACGTCTCAAAGCGCTTGGCAGAAAAATACCGTTGAGTGAATTGACCGGGTATTTCGTGGGCGAGGCGGAGCAGCGAATAGCGCTCAGCGACGTCCCACAAACAGTCGTGGATTGAGTGACCAAATTATTATTTTTTTGTCATTAATTTTTGAATGTTTTAAGATTATATTTAGACGGTGAATGCACTATTATTTTTTGCAGTGGCTCTTATGATTTGGAGGGGTACCATTCTTGTTGCTTTGTGCTACTCACTGTACTGTATGTTTCGTCTTGCTTTGCGATAAAATTTGGATCTAAAATTAGAGAAAGAATGAAAGGAGGGGAATGAACAAAGAGAAATACCACAAAAGTGGATTGGTCAATTTAAGATAAATCATGTGTAGAACTGGGGCTCCATATATCACAATATATATACTGTGCCACATGTATAGATGAGATAATCTGAACAAGAATGAAAAAGTGCATCTTACATGTAAATGTGTTGAAGTGATAAATCTTGCGATCTGTCCATCAGGGCAAACAGTTTATTTTAGGTTTTACAGAAACACATAGTTTTAGACGTTAGCAATGTATATTTATTTAAATGTTTATCTTTTATGTAAAAGGATGAGTGTCACAAAATTCTTCAACTTAGGTTTCAGCCTTGCTCAGTTGATAACACTCGCCTTTAAGTTAGAAGGCTGTGTGGGTTCCAAGTCCCAAGTTAGGGCTTTAATATGATATACCTACGCCTAATAATAATACCTCCAAAACCAAAAACAATAATAAATTGGTCATTTTCAATCTACGACTGTTTGTGGGACATTGCTGTGCGCAATTGGCTGCTGCGTTCACCCACAAATATACAGTCAATTCACTTTACAGTGTGTTCTGTGAAGCGCTTTGGGACGTCCTCCCGACGTGAAAAGCGCTATATCAAATGCAAGGATTATTATTATTATACTGTAGCACGTTTCATGTCAGGAGGATGTCGCAAAGTATTTCAATGGATTTATTGTAAAGTGAGGCGACTGTATTTTATAAATGAACACACAGCAATTCAGCACTATTTGTGGGACATTGCTGTGTTCAAATTGGCTGCTGCGTTCGCTAACTAAATATACAGTCACAGTAAATCATGTGATGCTCTTTGAGATGTCCTCCAGACATGAAGGTCCTATATCAAATGTAAGGATGATTATTGTGACCTTTGAAGAAAAATTTAAACAATTCTGATTCATAAAGTTAGGGTTCCAATCACATGTAGAGCAACAGTTACTGTAGCACAGCCAACAGTTCAGGCCTGAACTCAGAACTCCAATTTTAGCACCTCTGGTCAGCTATAGCAATTGCCTGTACACAAAATCCTCTTCTAATAACTCAGATTTTCCTGCTCAGTGTACAATACGATTTACATTTGAACAGCGCCTTTCATGTCAGGAGGACGTCTTAAAGAGCTTGACGATGCTGACTGGTAACCTGAGCTGGGGTGGCCTTTATCTGAAGCATCTTGACGTCCTTACTTGTCTTCCATCCTTGTAGTACATGAGAATTGGCAACATTTTCCAAGAAGAGGCAAACTACTACTTCCTGCAGTGCAATTCAATACAAAAATGATTTCAACATTGCTAAAACACATTACACACACATCCCCAAAATATTTACAGTACTTAAAGAACCACACCTTACCTCCTGGCACTTTAAATGAGGGGGAAAAAACTGTTGACATACAAATCAAGCAGAATACTGTGAAGTTCAAACCTGCCTGAATGTCAAAAGCGTTGATAAAAGGAGGTCAAAAGGATCTTATCATGTCTGTGCTGGTACTGGCTCCCCTACTCTTTTCCCAGACCATTTAATATTTTTATGCCAGTATTTCGTCAGTTCCCTTAAATGTTGTTATGAACCTGTCTTTCAATAGTCATTTGTGGAAAGTAAGTCTACATTCTTATCACTCTCTTGGAGAAGATAATGGACTTTGCCTACAGTGGAAAATCTCATTGTAATCAATTTCTTTCTTCATGTACACATCAGCTTTCCTTTTGAAAAAGTTGATGCTTTCTGCTTCAACCTCAATTTCTCACAGTGAGAATGTGGAACTAACTCACGGGTCCGAAACTCTGTCTGGTGTCAGTATAAAAAATGGTATTATTACTCATCGAGTCAGTGAGAAGCAAGATTCTTTTTAATAATTTTGAAGCATCGTTCTAAGTACATTACTTAAAGGAATAGTACATTGTATTTGATGTGGGAAAGAGATGCTAATATTGTGATTCTAATGCCAAGAATCTGCAAGGGAACAAAGAAAGCAAATAAAGAACAGAGTAGGTAGGGTTGGGTCTACAGGTTTTAAATGCCAGTAGATTGTAGGAGGGGAAAAAAGATTGAGAGAGGTTAGAAGTTCCATAGTTTTAAGGTCCTGGGAAAGAGTGTTGAATAAATAAGAGGCTATGTGATGAATTTTAAGTAAGAGAGTTGAGCGGAGGCAGAGCACAAACTACTTGAAACTTGAGGGGCACAAATGAGGGAAGTTTGGAATAAAATTAAAATAGAGTATCAGGAGCAATATTGATAGAAATAGAATTAAGGAAAGTAATATAGAGATGGCGCAGTCCAGGAACCGGTCCCACACTATTAACCTGAATCATGGGATTTTGAGTGATGTTTTTGACTTAAAAAGCCAGCATCCCACTAACTGGCATAAAGGTGTGATCCACAAGCCTGGCCTCACTGTTGTTCACAGTCCTGGATGAGAGCTAACTTTCTACAGTTGAATGTCAATAAGACTGAGGCCCTCCTGATAGGCTCCTGTCAGCGCCTCCACACCTCAGGCACTGAAAGCATCACCATCCAAGGATGCACACTCCACCTTACTGAGCCAGTCCAGAACCTTGGTGTCTTGTTTGACCCTCACCTGTCCTTTCGACCCCACACCCGTGCCACGACCCACTCTGCCATCCCCCATCTCTGCAAAATTGCCCGGCTCAGTTACTGCCTCATCTCTCAGACCCCCGAAACCCTCATTCACTTGTTCATCACATCTAGGCTCGACTATGCCAACTCCCTTCTTGTCAGCCTTCCTAACTCTTCTCCACAAGCTGCAGATCATCCAGACCTCTGCAGCTCATGTCCTCTCCTGCACCAGACTTCATGACCCCATCAAATCCACCCTCACCTGGCTCCACTGGCTCCCCATCACCCAGAGGATAGAGTTCAAAATCCTCATTCTCGCCTTCAAGGCCCTCCACAGCTTTGTCCCTTCCTACCTCCGTGACCTGCAAACCCTGTATCAACCTGTCTGCTCCCTCCCCTTTGCAGAGTCTGGCCTGCTCCACATCCCTTGGCCGTCGGTGGTTGGGCCTTCAGTCTCTCTGCCCCCACCCTATGGAACACCATCCCACATTCCCTTCTCTTCGCTCCCCTCTCTTGTCTTCCTTCAAGGCATGTCTCAAGACCCTCCTCTTCTACCGGGCCTTCGGCCACCCTCCTACCCTCCAGCCTACCTGATCCCAATGCCCCCCAATCGGGTCCAAATCCCTGACTGTCCAACGCCTTGGGACGTTCTCTCAACATGAAAGGCACTATACAAATGTAATTTTCTATTGTTTTGTGTAATATTGTTAGGGTCAACCTGGTGCAGTTGGTAGCACTCCCGCTTCTTGCGATTTAAAGGAACTCACGTAGGAACTTGGAACTCAAATAATCTAAGCTGATGTTTAATGCAGTATCAAGAGGGGAGTGGGGGTTTTGGATTGCTAGAGCTGCTGTCCTTTGGATGAGACATTAAACTGAGGTCTGTCTTCCTGTTCAAGTAGGTATTAAAGATTACTTGATACTTTTCGAAAGAGAAGGGAATTTCTCCCGGGACCTGGGGTTAATCCCTCAAGTAAAATTGGTCATTCAATTTATGACTGT